TTTTTTTGTGCTCAAAGTATGTGGACATATAATGAAGCGGCTATCGAGTTGGTGGCGGCCGTTTTTTTTTTTTTTAACGATTACGACAACATGGCCATGAGTTTCGTGACGAAACTAAACTTTTGGCGAAGGAAACTTTATAAAATTCGGCTAGATTCCTTCTTGTAGTTTATCTTGATTCACGGCAACGATAAACACGACCGTTTGCCCGTCCAGATTGTTCTCAACGGACTTAGATACTTAGAGAGGCACCAGTACGAGTTACAGCCTGTTCTCCCGACCCGACTGACTGCCCCTGGGTCTTCGAGAATGCTTAATGCCATGTTTTTGAACTGTTTTCGTATTTTTGGAAAATAGCAGAGTTTACTTTCCCTTTTCATCAACGGACTGCTTACAATAGAGTAGTATACCGATAACGCTTGGTTCTGTTTTTCTCGACGTCGCAGTGATTCGGCACGATCGAACAATTTTGCGCCATCAACGTGTGTTTCCCTAAGATCAAAACAAAGACTTAATGTTTCTTGCTTTGTCAGTGTCTAAATTATAAAATCATTAGCGACAGACAAGTCTAATTGTAAATGATTTGAAACAGTCTTGGTCTTTATCTTTGGTCTTGCGTCTTTTTTAGGTCGTTTATGAAATAAAACTTCGATTTATTTTGTTGACTAAGACAATATGTTGTTGTTGAATTTTTGTTTGCGCTCTATTTTTATGAATGGCATGCGTTTTTACTTCAAAACTACAAGTAATATTGTCGTAACACTTTTATTCTTATATTAGCATAACCAGAGAAGAAACGTTCCGTAAATACTATCGAAATATCCCCCAATTCCTTTGTTAAACTCTCTCTAAATTTCAGAGCTTTGGACGTGACAAAGAGCATGGAGAAAGTCAAGCGTTAAAAACGGAAAGCACTAGATAACATCGACCTAAACCATGCAGATGAGTCATCGATATGTCAGCGGCGTCTTAAAAAATGACTGAAATGATCCCTTCGACTTCCGCTCACTTGGTCGATCGCAGCGAAGATGTTATATATGAGTTAGTTTGAGTTATAAAACGGTCAATACTGTCGTTTCCAGTTTATATCACTAAAAAAATGTTAAATCTGTTATAGACTCAGCTGTATTGCATTGAACGACGCGGCTTATGTTCTTCTCAAGGAACGCTGGTTTCGCTCGATGTTATTGCCCCCGCAGGGATTTAGTTCGCCCAGAAGGCGAAATCCAGAGGAGGCACTCTAGTAACTCGCGCGTGTATTATACAGTCAATATAGAAAAAAATGTCGATTTCCTTGAACAGGGGCCGCCAGGAATCGGTAGGTAATGATGACGTTTCTATTGATTGCGCCCGCAAGTACGAAATGGTTAGGATGACGTAAAACACAAAAAATCCCGAAGGAACAGCTTACAATAGGTAAATTTTGTGACATTAATTGTGCAGTCACACTTCGATACTCTTTTGCGTTACGTGTTATCAGTGACATTCTATGGAGCAGTTGTTATGAAAGTTATGGACCAAAAGACACTCGTTAAGCGCAGATGAAGTTATAAGGTGCGTAGAACAGTGTATATTTTAACACTGAGTGAGTTTGCCTGACACGAGTTCACAAATCTTTGATTGGAAACCTTCCGCTGAACCTTGACAGACACTATTTCTCTCTCTTTGACCGGAATAAGACTAGGCCCAAAACAAGCAAGACGAAGCGAATGATTCAACGGCTAGCTTATCACTAGCAGAACGATGGACGATTTCAGAAATTCGCAGACCATCAAATTCTGTGCTGACTTATTCCCTGCTCACAGATGTCCTTCCCCTATAAAGTTTAAAATAAGACTAGAATGCGCGACCGTGACTTGATCAAACGTCCCTTTAATTTCTAAGGCTTCATGACGAGATTCATACGACTTTGAAATTCACCACAGCCGGGAGGAAGTTTTAATTTCCGGTCTCCTTGTAAAAACCTAATTAGGATTCAATTAATAGCCACTAATCTGTCATGACTTGTGTACTTTGCATCACTGATGGCAGACGAGCTGAGACGAAAGACCGATACTATTTGTATCACAATGCGATCTCGCGCGAATTTCAAAACCGGCATGAAAGTAGCGCGTTCATCGGGAAAGGCATCTTCAGTCTTTGGACCCTCGCTTGCCAAAGAAACTTAATCTCGTACGCAGTATCAGTGACCAAATGGTTTTACCGACAGATATATTTCATGGCAAGTCAAAATTTTATGCTTTTTATATAGAGATGATGTTTGGAAGTAGCAGGGCCGATTATTTATGGCTATTTATGATTTGGTCGATAGTACAGATAGTACTGGCGCTCGAGGCAACCCATCAAGGTTTGGTTTTTCAAAGAGGAAAGATCATGTTGTTGTCGTTTCAACCTTAGCACGAGTCTTTAACTTGCGCCGATGAAATGCAGACGAAAGCGGGTTTAAAGCGATCAAAGAAGGACTAAATTCCTCCCAGCTACTAGAAAATATAGCGGGAAGAAGTCAGAGAAGTCAGAAAAAGCGTTTCGTCGTGCGGAGAAGATCTGGAAAAGGTACTTGGTCGTGGATTACTGAATTGGGGAAATTAAAGTGAGGGATTCATTCGAGAAGCAATATCGTATGATTTCCTGACGTTGGAAGATGACCGTCAAGTCAGAAACTAGGGCATTCACGTCATTGTTGATTATGTAAGCTTAAATGATTTTTATTTAGGGTCGCTGACTGGATTTAGCCCGAACGGTGATGCTCTTCAGCCGTTTTCAATTTTCTAAACATCGGCCGAAACTTGGTAAGTCTATTTTGGGTTCCTTTGTATCATCTTCAAATGGATAACTATTATCATTTTAGCGCAAAAACGTTTTAAGGTCGCCACTGATCACTCGATCATTTCATAAATTCTCATTAACTGCTAATGATGTGAAAGTGTAATGTTCATGGAGAATGTTGATGGAGGTCACGATTTCTTAAGCCTGATCGTAAACAGTTCATTCAGTCAGAGGTCAGTTTTTAAGTGTGGATCGTGGTGGATATTTTCAATTTTATCGAATCCCTTTTAAGAAAACAGGAAAATTTATTTTGCTCGAGCCAGTGGCTATCAACTTATTTAATTTTGCACTGATTACATCTGTGAAGATGATAGTGCATGTCCCGCATTACATGTAAGTAAAACAGTTTGGCCTTGCTGATGCAACAGAGCACCTTAGCCTTTTTTAGGCCGTCGCTCTGTGAGAAGTTTATTCGCCGGGTGTCTCAGAGGGAACTAAAAACTCGCTTTTAGATATTGTTTGAATCTCTGTCCAGCATTGAGAAAAAAGTTTGGCCTTCCTGATTCAACAGAGCAGGTTAGCAGCCTTTTTAGGCTGTGGTTATGTGAGAAGTTTATTCGCCGGGTGTCTCAGAGGGAACTAAACACTGGCTTTTAGATATTGTTTGAATCTCTGTCCAGCATTAAGAAAAAAAGTTTGGTCTTCCTGATTCAACAGAGCAGCTTAGCCTTTTTAGGCTGTGGCTCTGTGAGAATCTTATTCTCCGGGTGTCTCAGAGGGAACTAAAAACGCGCTTTTAGATATTGTTTGAATCTCTGTCCTGCATTAGGAAAAAAAGTTCGGCCTTCCTGATTCAACAGAGCAGCTTAGCCTTTTTAAGCTGTGGCCCTGTGAGAATTTTTTTCGCCGGGTATCTCAGAAGGAAGCTTTATTTTTTAGACATAATTCAAATATTGCAAAATTAGTGTCTCGCTTACATTTGTATTTAACCCCATCCAGATCCAGTGAGGCCTTTAAAACAGCGCGTCAATTTTAAAAGTTTTTTCATAAGGCAGTTTCCGTTCTGGCCTTGAATGAAGATTCCATTAAAAAGCCTTGCGTTCAGATATAAAATTAGGGAGATCTTGTAAGCATAAACTGAAATATATGACATGTGGATGAAGGTATGAAAGTGAACATGATCATCGCATTAAATTCGCAGCCTATTCGGTTGAAAAATAATCTGAAAAATGTTGCAGCGTTATCGCAGAAAGTTAGAGGTAATATTATTCATTGTTGGGGAAAATACTCCGCGGCTTTAAATTAATAATTTCCACGATGTTTTAATTCCGGTAGTGTAGTAACCTTTTCGTTAAGGCAGTTTCTAAAACGCCCTCGTGAAAACCGCACAGTCTCTGTAAATTCTCACTTTAACTTGAGAGAGAAGCCAAAAGGAAATAGAGTGACATTACTTTCAAACCATTACGGGTTACCTTAGGCCGCGGTTTCAGAAATCATTGGACCTCCGGGCATCTTTCTTGGTGGGTTAGTTTAAGAAATTAAGTGCTTTAGTTTTTCAGTCTGCCTTATATGCTTTATTGAAATTATTCACGATAAATGGGGTTTGATAAAAGCGTTGGTTAAACTGAAAAGGGCTTAATTACAACGCGATTTTGTAATATACTAGGTAAATAACTGGCCCTTAGTGTTTAATAAATACAAGTAAGCAAAATATACGATGGAAAATTCCCCATCAAGAAGTGCGTAAAATCAATCTTCTCGAAGTACAATAAATTTTAAGAGAAGCCACAAGGCAAATGCATTCCGGTTCAGCAGAATAACTTTCAATGAGGCTAATTTGTAGTTGAGTTCTTTGTTGAACCGAAATCTTGTTGACGTACAGGAATTCAGTTGATTTGAGAATTTTTTCACCTCCAAGCAAATGAGCCGTAAAAAGTTGATTACTTCTACAGAGCTCCCCTGCTGATGTTCGCCTATTGAATAGGCAACGCGAGTTTCGAATTACAATCTCGATTTTATGGTAATTTGTCTTGCGGAAAATATAAATGAGCATTGCAAGCATTTTATCGTCTCCAACCTTTTATTAATATCCTTTTTACATGCGGGGACGTTTGGTCGTCCTAATGACTCCCGCCCCCTAAACAACATACAGAATTATCCACATCGGCTAAACCTATGTTTTTCGACACCTATATATCCCCTGTATACTAAAACGAGAATTGAACTTATCTACTTTAACTTTTCCTTGGTCCATTGAGGTGGGAGCATGCTTTCAGCAAACTTTTGGCTGATCGTTCTTTCGCTTCATACTGGTCCCAAAGTTCGAACATCTTCGCGTGCAGCTCTCGGTACTTGCGTCGCTGTATTCTTCTCAATTTCTTCTCGGAAACGAGACGGATCTGGAGGGCGGTAAGTGTACCTTCTTTGTGTAGAAACTTTATCAGCAAATACATTGGAAGCTGTCCCCGTCCAGCTCGGCGGTTGAGGCCATTGTGCCAGCCTTCAACATCATTGTTGGTGCGGATGGCTTTCTTGAATGCGGTCCAGTCAGAAGGTCCCCACGTGCCATTGATCCAGGTATCGTTTACGTACTCTGTGAACTGCTGTAGAGGCTCCGAAGCATGTCGTTGAAGTCGTTGAAACATGGGCTCTATCTCTTCTTCAGGAAGGAAAGGTAGCGCTATCATCTTTTTAATGAATGAGTGCGTACCAAGGTCATGAGTATACGATGATTGAAGGCCGAGTTCCTGCACCTGTAGTATGGATAAAAAGAAAAGATTTGGCTGCTGATTCTATTTTTACGGAGTTCTAATCTCCAATAAATTTATTGATTCGAAAGACCAGTTTTGTAAAACATTTTTAAAGCATTTCATATCTCCCCGAAACAATTATGTCCCTATTATGGCTAAGTTCATAAGTTCGTAAGTTTTCCTACTTTTATTATTTACTAACCTTTTTCCACAGGGCTTGGGTCTAGTGCAAAACACAACCGTGCAGCCTAACATGGGGGATGACGTCCCTTAAAGCGGCCCACACTGCTCTCTCTAAATCTAATGTCACTTGTTGAACGGCCGGGGCTGAGGGGAGGATCTCGAGTAGCCGCTTGAGCACTTTTTTTTGTAGTCGTTTTCTTTCCTCGTGACATCAGTACGAAGAGGAGAGGCACTGACTTGTTTGGCATGGTCGTCGGTCCTGACGAAGGCATTCACGGTCATCAGCTGGTTGAACGGGTGCCGACATAGCAAAAAAAGTGCCGTCTATATACCAAGACTTGGCTCGAGCAAGGTGCTGTAGCTGCTGATCGGTTGCGAATATCAGATGCCTACGGCGGCGGACTTGTATGTCTCCTCGCAGGAACTCGTCTGGAATGTGGTTTTCCTTTACATCGAAGTTAAGGTCTGTTGGATCTTGTGGTCTCAGGCGCTGTCGGTGTCGGTTGGCAACTCGGGCTATGTATTTCGGCTTCGGTAAACACAGAGAGGGGACGTCCTTCAGATCTTCTAAAAAGGACCTCTTCCACAATGGCGGATGCTGGTCTGAAAATATCTACTGCTGCTTTGGCCTTGACTTTTGCTGTAATGCTGGCGGCTAATGTCGACTTCTGCTGCGTGGTTGTGGGCGTTTGAACCAAGGTGGAATGAGCCGGAGCGCTCAATTATACTTGCTTTGCATGGATTGACCTGGTATAAGAAATGTACAAAAGGCAATTAGGACCTATTCACAGTAGGGGGAAAGCACTTTTTCTTTGTAATAAAGATGTAACGTTTGCCTGAGATAATAAATAATTTCCAGTGCGGAGTAAATCGTCGAATTGTGCTTTCGGAAAAGCACAATTCCGTAGTTTGAATATTTTAATTAAAAGCAAATGAAATTATATTCACCTTGGGTCTTCTGGTGCATATCCAGTCATTGGCGTTGACTCGACGGCGTTTGACACCATAGCAGTATCCCCTGCTGTCAATTAGCTTTGGTCTGCCTTTTGAAGTGGAGTCTTCAATGATCTCAAATGTTAAAGCGAATAGAGCGGTTGATGGTTCGGGTGTTTGTTCAGTGATGGATGATTCATCAGGGGCGGGGTCCAAGATTGGTCGATGAGAGGGTTCGTCCTCCGCAGTGTCCTGGAAAAGGAACACAAGAAAATATCAGAACATGTAAGTAAATTACATTAAGTGTTAAAGATACATGTCGAGCTTCGAATTCCCTTTAAAAACGTTAAAGATTTACCGTAGTTGACTGGGCCGGTGCATCGTAGATCGTCGACTGCAGCGAATCACTATGGTACGTTCGCGGGTTAAACTCAGATGACTCTAGTATGTCCGTCGACTGTTCCGAAATCCTGGAACTCTCGGCTACTGGTGAACCAGGTTGGCATGGCAAGCAGAACCAACTGATGTCGGCACCTACCCGTACGGCTTCACGGTAAGCTTGTTGAGTAATGCCTATAACAAAATTGAAGAAAGAATTGTCAAAACTGGTAGCACAACGGGTATTTCATAAAAGAGCAAGGAGGAGAGAATGGTCTTGAAGAACTTATTGAATGAAAAAAAAAAAAAAATCAGCTTACCAATGTTGCAAGAACGCTGATTCCACTTCATACAGCCATCGCACTGTATCGCTTGTTGTCTTGTTGTTACGGTTTGATTACAAGAAGTGCATTTGTCGGCCATAGTTGAATCGTTGAAGTAACAATCGTTTTTGCGGAGACGTACTCAAAGGGTGACCAATGATCGGAATGCTTGTTTTACTACTCGTTCTGCTTTTATACACAAAGGTGGTTAGTTATTAATTCTTAAGGATCACATTAAATTCATCTTAATCGTGATTTGTTGTTTTCTCTTACTGAGGTGATAACTTGTGCCAATTATTTGCTGTTAAATGCATCACAATGGCTCCCGCGCTTGTCTTCCAAGAGGTTAAGTTTCTTTTGTTTAACTATTCATACACCGCTGTCGATGAAACTTTAGTTTTATGTAAGTTAAAGATGATGATAGAATTGAAATAGGATGCAGTTGACTTCCGATAACACGAACCCTCGCTAACTCGAACCTCGCGCTAACTCGAACCAAGGTCGATTTCCCCTGGATTTCCTTCTCACATTTACTGTAATGTAAGAACACTCCCGCCACCTCCAAGTAATTTTTGTTTCCCTTCAGATCATTTCTATACAATTTTACCCTCGATAACTCGAACCATGTTATAAACGCGTGACAAGTCGGGAAACGAAATCTTATAATTAAAGCCGCGCCGTGATTGCCGTATCAAAAGCTTCATATCTTTTTACCGCAACAGCATTAAGGAGTATAAATTATAGCGAAGCTCCACGCGCGCGCGAAGCGCGCGCGTGGACGGAGCCCCATAGCTAAGGAAATGTGGTAATCTACCCATCCGAGAAAATTTGGTAATCACGTGACCGTACGACCGTCCGTCCGCACCACAGGCACACCAATGTTTACTCCCACACTTTCTAGCTAGTTTGGGAGCCCAATGGAAAACTAATTACACATCAATTGACAGCTGTCAAAACAGGATATCCGCTGACCAGTATCACCTGACCGTACCGCGGGCTCAAGTGTCGACCCATCGAGGTCGAGTACTTTTTGAAGTTATCCGCTGACAAATTACCAGTTTCAAATGATCGCAGGCTCAAGTCTATTTTTTCCAATGATTCATATGAAATATGTTGTGTTTATGTCACTATGGCCTCGCACTGTCAAGATTTTGATTTCAAACTGACCTCGGACGCGAAAATTCAGCCACTTTTTTAAACATAAAGGCGGGGAAGACCTTTTCTTACCATGGTCACGCGTTGGTCACACTCTACGTCTAATTTTTGTACTCTGATTGGTCAAAATTTGACAGGTGAGTTCATGCGGAAAATTTATGCAGCATCTTGAGAGTTGTTTACTTTGACAGCTAAAGCTGACAGAGTTTTGTGTCAACTAGTGATGTTTTTAACTGTCTTTTTCCACTGGATGTACAAAATGAAATACAGCTGCTATCAAGAGTCTTCTGTTATCCATTACTCGTTTGTTTATTGGGTTTTTGGTTGAGAAATGCGTCGCTTGTCAAAATTGGGTAATCCGTTTTCGGATGGCATCGTTTTCGTCTTTCACGTTGCTCAATGCGTAAGAGGGTTTAAAAGTCTCAAGCAACTATGGCCTTCCTTGATATCTTTCATGAACTGAATCTCGAATGGTAAGCCTGAGTAATTATTGTATTTGATGTTTGTTTTGTTATATCTAATTTCATGAAGTCGAGCACAGTTTATGCGGCAAGGTTTTGCACGTTTGTTAAGATTTGAGTCAATGATCTGATCTAGTATCAGGTTTTATATAAGCTTACAGAACTATAAAAGGCCTTCAGATATATTTTCTCACGGCAAATAGAAAAAAAAACGTTCCGAAGAATATTTAGTTATCAATTTGGCTGTAGAAAGAAACTTTGAGTGATTTTCTTGCTTCGAGGAGTTCATTTTTGAAATAAAAAAGAAACACAGGGACGCCGGCTGAAAGTAAAACAAAATAAACTTAAGCTTAAGCTTTAAGCTTTAAGCTTAAAGACTCAGGATTTTTAGATACTAGATTTTAATAGATTTTAATACTTGTCTTCGTGAATGAAAATTGTTGTCTCTGTAAATGTTTTACCGAATTACATTTCTTTTATTGATTGTCAGTAGTCTCTCTTGCAATTTTAATCGCTTGTCCGTGATGTTTGTTTTCATCGTTCATGAACATCGCTTGCAGGAGTACTTAGAAATGTCGCGCGTATCAAACGCTTTATAAGATTACACATTGTTATAACTGGAACCATTAAATAACAAAAAATAATGATAATAAATTCGTTATTATGTTGAAGCGTATCTCCATTAAAGTTCATTCAAACACTCGACCACAATGACAGCTCGCACTAAAAATGAGAACCGACTGGCCGTATGGGTGATTTTGGAAATTTTTTGAACGGTTTCGCTAAAAGCCCACGATTGATCGTCCTGAACATTGAAAAATTGTGGAATGCCGTATTCTGTCCAAGGTCTGTATGATAAAAAACACTGTTTCACCTCAGATGTGATGTATAAAAAGTGTAAAAGGTTGGTTTACACACCCTCAGATTTGTTGGCAAGAATTTGTAAAGTAAACCTGTCGAACGCCAAAAATTGCGGCCTGATTTGTTTTCCAAGAATTTGTTTTCGAGGCCTAATCTACTATGATCAAGAGCCATTATGGCTCTTGAATGTGATAGAAGATGTTTGCTATTTTTTGGGTGTACATATATTTAGTGCAACTCGATGTAAGATGTTTCACTCTAAAATAACTTATCCTTTCCCTCAAAAGTCACATGAATGTGCNTGGAAATTTTTTGAACGGTTTCGCTAAAAGCCCACGATTGATCGTCCTGAACATTGAAAAATTGTGGAATGCCGTATTCTGTCCAAGGTCTGTATGATAAAAAACACTGTTTCACCTCAGATGTGATGTATAAAAAGTGTAAAAGGTTGGTTTACACACCCTCAGATTTGTTGGCAAGAATTTGTAAAGTAAACCTGTCGAACGCCAAAAATTGCGGCCTGATTTGTTTTCCAAGAATTTGTTTTCGAGGCCTAATCTACTATGATCAAGAGCCATTATGGCTCTTGAATGTGATAGAAGATGTTTGCTATTTTTTGGGTGTACATATATTTAGTGCAACTCGATGTAAGATGTTTCACTCTAAAATAACTTATCCTTTCCCTCAAAAGTCACATGAATGTGCCCTTAAGTTAACTGACTTGTGGATTACAAGTTTATTGTCTGATTTAAAATATAAATTTATTAATGGGAGCTTCGCTTTTAGCCCTGGCTAAATCTATATATTAGATATTGCGAATTCGGCATGTTTTCGAACTCGAATGTCACGCTGGAATTCGAACTCGACAAGTAGCGCCGGAAACCGGCGTAAACCGTGACAGGTTTCTCTCGCTGTTTTTAAATCTAAACCACTTTACATCGTAGTACTTTATTTTACTTTCTGTGTTGTGGTCAAAAATCGACAAACAGATTAATCCGACAAACATAAGCTCTCGCCATTGTGTGAATAGCCTGAATAGTTCTCACATCGTTCCGCAATGCATAGTGAAATTAACATGCGGCGCTCGCAACATTATGTAAATAGTTCTGACAATACTTTCATTCATGTTCCTATCGTTAGTCTGTACTTGGATAACATTTACACATTTAGAAAATAGATATAACATATGTGGAATGAACTGACTTTTTTGTGGAACGAACTGACTATTTTGTGGAACGATCTGACTTGGAACGATCTGACCATGGAACGAAATGACCGGATACCTGTGCATGCAACCTTGCGTTTATTTCCTGTATTTATCTCACCAGTTGTATGGCATATGTGCTAACATCTTCATTATGAATCGGTATATTTCAAAGAGCTACACAAGGAGCAAGAACACCATAAATATACAGAGCGGGAGCAGCTGTAATGTCAACTATTACTAGTTTTATTAGTGTCAAGACGTCACGAAATCCTATCTAACATCGACCGAGCTTTCGACTTTCACCTACGAGAGTTTAAGAAGTTCATAATAAAAAAGTTCTACTTCCACAATCACATGCCAACATTGGCGCCATATAGTAGTATAATACTTGGGGGAACGAGCGCATTTCCATGTTTTTTTGCTCGAATTGGGGTTTTTGCTGAGTCAGCATTTTGGTAACCGGTTTTGGGCGGTTTTGACCGGTCATTTTCGCTCGTTAATGGTGCAAAACGAAAGGTACTTAAAGAGCAGAATTTATTATATATCATGTATACCTGTTTTTTTGAAAACTGGGTTACTAAAACATGTCAGTCTCTCGCACTAATTGGTAATTTAATGGCCCTTGTTACTAGAAAAGTAAAATCTCACCTCAAAAAGAAATTATTGAATAAATGAGCTTCCATTTGATAGGATCGTCTGTCTTGAAGGTACCAAAAGTGAAGTTTTCCTCATTAATCTGGAAAATAAGGCATTTTAAGGGGCAACTTTTAGTGTCGGTGTCACCGATTGCAAAGCCATTTCCCCAGTTCACCCCATTTTTCATTGAAACTGGTCTTCCAAAAACAATCTAAGGCAACACTTCTAAACAAAACCGATTCCTACAACCACCAGATTAACTGCTTGCTGACTAGGAACATTATCAACAGAGTGGGCCATTGCTTGCATGCAAACAGCACAAACAAACTGCATAAGAGTGCAAAAACACATCAAACTTTACAACAACCCCCGCCCCCTGGAATTTACCCAGGCTACCCCAAATGCATACCAGATGATAGCCCTGTGTCTCTGCAACAACATGAAACCCAGCCAGACACCCCCTCTCCCCTAATTTGAGGGAGAGATTGAGCTTTGAAAGACAGGGGTGAACCCCGGTACAAAAACTCAGCAAATCTGCACTCTGGCACAAAGCATAGTCTTTAGAACAACCTCACCCCCCGCCCCTGGAATTTAATTAGGCTACCTCAATTGCATACCAGATGATAGCCCTATGTCTGTGCAACAACATGACACCAAGCCAGGCACAACTCCCACTTAATTTGAGGGAGACATTGAGCTTTGAAAGACAGGGGTAAGCCCTGGTACAAAAACTCAGCAAATCCGCACTCTAGCACAAAGAATTGTCTTTAGAACAACCCC